ACAGATGTGGAACACGGGATTTACGCTGGAACGAGGTTAAGGCAAACAGATGTGGAACACGGGATTTACGCTGGAACGAGGTTAAGACAAACAGATGTGGAACATGGGATTTACGCTGGAACAAGGTTAAGGCGAGTGAGGTCCCTAGGGAGCTAAATGTCGGGGGGCTGAGAGTGAAGCCCTCCTCAAATTCTGCCCCCTCGCACTTCACTCGCCTTCCCTTCGTCCTGGCCCTGCACAGGATACAGCTGCTCAGAGAGGTGAAGGCTAGGTGGAAAGCCTAAACAGGAGCCTTAAGGGGACGAGGACCAGAAATTCAAAGGGTCTGTGTGTTCACGAGAAGGGGGATCTAAAAGGAAGATAAGGGGAAAGAAACTGAAACGTAGGGGCACCAAAGGCAAGGTCTAGTACACCTACTGACTTTTTTCTTGGGTCCATAGTTAGATTAGAGACAATATTCTAAACAGGGAGCCAAAAAGAAAGGATGCTACCATTTCATCAATTCATGATATAAGCATATCTTAGCTCCTGCTTAAAATATCAGCTTCACTGTCACTTCATGTTCAAATTAGTTTTCTTGTTAATATTCCCTATGTCATCCAGCATTTTCCCTTTCTCAACACTCATACCATTGTAATTATCTGCTTGATCTTTGTCTTACTTGTTAAACGGAAGCTAAAGGTATGTAGAGAGCTCATTCACAACTGAAACATCAGCAGTGCCTGGAACCTAATGGGCACTCAGTAAATAATTGTTTAATGGTCTTAAATCTTCTTGGAAGCACTGGCCCAGTTAGAAAGAATTAACAGCATTGTGACCATGTTTCCCTATCTTCTTGCCCTTCCAAAGTTGGACAAAAAAGAAGCAGAGGTGAGTGGGGGTCTGGCAAACAAGTGAAGTCAGAAAAATATGCTTGAACACACTAATGGTATTGACAAAAATTCTTAACTTCACTTTTCTTATTGAGTTTTGATAGTTCTTTACATATTTTGGATACAAGTTCTTTATCAGATATGTGTTTTGCAAGTATTTTCTCCCAATGTGTGGCTTATCTTTTTATTCTGGTAACAATGTCCTTCAAAGAGCAGAAGTTTTTAATTTTATGAAGTCTAATTTATCTTTTCTTTTTGGGATTGTGTTTTTACTGTCATATTTACAAAATCTTTGTGTAACCCAAGGCCACAAAAATTTCCTCTATGTTTTCTTCTAGAAGTTTTAGTTTTAGTTTTTACATGTACTGTATATGGTATGAATTACAAGTCAAGATTCTGTTTTTGTTTTTTGCATATGGATGTTCAATTGTTCCAGTACCATTTTTTGAAAAAAAAAAACAAAAAACTGTTTATTCTCCAATTGCCTTTGTACTTTTGTCAAAAATCCATTTTCCAGAGTATGTCTATGGGTCTATTTCTGGACTCTCTATTCTATTTCATTTATCTATGTATCTATCCTTTTGCCAATACCACACATTTGTGAATACTGTACTTAAGATAAGTCTTGAAATCAGGCAAGGTGAGTCCTCAAACTTTGTTCTTATTTTTCAAAATTATTCTGGCTATTCTACTTCCTTTGCCTTTCCTAGTAATTTTAGAGTCATCATGATAAGTTCTCCAAAAAGTCTTGCTGGAATTTTGATTGGGATAACAACAAATCTCTATTACACCTGCTTTTAACTTTAAATACTTGAGCTGTGTTAAATATGTATCAGTAAATACAATTCCAATAAGAATACAGATAAGCTTCAGACAATGAAGAATACAATGGATTTTAAATATGTGCTGATCAGACAATGATACTGAACTCCCTACCAATGATCCTACACATTTTAGCAATGTAGGAAATGTTCACTGGCCAGAGCTACCGATGACTCACAAAAGTCAAGGAGCTGTACAGTCTCTCAAGGATAAAGAAAATAGTGTCAATTATACCCAAAGAAGATAATATTACAACTTTTCTATGTTGTCAAGATCTTCACAAAATAAAGAATTAGTCAGGCAAAAAGTCCATCCATCTTTTTATATCCATATATACGTACATTGCCATTTTGAGATTAAAATCTCTACACTGTCCCACATCTAAAAGAAGGGTTTTCTGAAATGCCAGAAGAGCCTCATTTCATGTAGTGATGTGAACACAGATTAAACATCAGCATAATTATCTGGGAGCTTTTAGCCTTGTTTCTGAAATGTCCATTTTCTCCATATTATTAGACACAGCAAAACGTGTAAAAGTATTTCACCTGGATGAAGATCTGTACCTGGTTGGCTAGTCAGTCCTGGGAGAGATTCCTGCAACTGATAGGTTGAGGTCGAGGATGAGGTGCCGTCAGCTGTGTTATTTGATGTCATATACGCTCCATAGGTTGATGCTGAGTAATACTGTGCATACTGGTTTTGGCCAAAGGCTGTGTAGGATGGATAATCCTGAAACAATAATTGAGATGTCTGGGTGTTTGAAAGAGAAATTACCCTCTAGTATGCTCCAAACGAAAGCAACCACTATGGTGACTGAAAGATTACCATTTGGCTCCATTCGTGGCGGACTCCATAGCCTTGAGGTGATCCTAATAAGCAGAGGCTATTTTGTAGGCATCTTCTATATGCACGTAGTAATGAACCACCCTGCAGGTTTTGTAAACCAGGTCTAGTACACAAGTTTTAATCTGCCTAAAGATTGCATATGCTTCACTCTGCCCCCATAATTACTTATCCAAAGATATACATCATCAGGTCTTCCGCACTTGAAGAGAAGAAGAGGGAATCAGTTCATATTTACAGCATCAGTTCTCATACATCTTCTAACGTCACTCACAAGGAGGAGGTGTGGCTGTCCCTCCTAGCTTCCACGCAGACCTTGGTCTGCATTACTGAGATTTCTGTTCCCCGTCTAGGCTACCCTTGATAAATATGTGGGAAATAAAGAGGAAATAAAAGAAGATGAATACGAGATTTTCTTACCCAGCCTCTCACAGGCTATGTGCCACCTGAGGCTTTGATTTTGTCTTTAGTGAGATTTTCAAATATTTAGTTTGCCTTATTTGTCACAGAGAAAACACAAAGCACTGGATCAACCCCCCTGACCTGCTTTTAATTAAAAAATTTTAAGAACCTTAAAATGTTCTAAATAATCCTTCCAAATCCTTTTATATATTAAGATAATAAATAAGGATTTGTTGTGATAATTGGTGTTTAATATATCTAGCATGTTTTAGCCCAAATTTTTGTCAGTGATGACAAATCTTCGGTCAGGATTAAGATCCCCTAATGTATGTTCCTGAGGGAAAAAGATCCACATTTGATGTGGTTTCTATAAAAGGAAATTTTCTGTAGCGGCAAACATGTGTATAAGCAAATATGTGTATTATCAGAAAGGATTAAGTAGTATGGAAGAAAACTGTCTGTTAATTTCAGGATCTGATGTTCCCCATTACCCACCTGTGAGCCAAGAAAAAAACTTAGCAATATTTGGACAAAGTTCCCAGCAATACATCTTTCTAAGAGTAAAACAATGAGAGTAAACATTTATACAGTGCTTACTTTGTGTTAGCCTTATTTAGTAAGGCCTTAACTAGATTTACTCATTTAATCCTCACAACCCTCTACGTGGTATTATCATAATCCCGATTTTACATTGATGGGGACAAAGGCACACAGCGGTTAAGTGATTTGCCCAAGGTCAGACAGCAATGTTCAGAGCTGGAATTAGACTCCAGAGAGCCGGACTCCAGCATCCGTGTGAGGAAGCTCTCCATTAGGCCTTTCAAGCTCTTGGAGGAAGATGAAGTTACTTACTGGGAAGGGCCAGACCACCAGCTTCTGGTGAATACAGTGTCTTTTGTACTCAAACATCTCTCAAAGATGGCACCTACTCTACATTTCCACTGTTGTCACCCTCATCCAAGCTACCCTCACTTCCTGTTGCAGCCAATGGACCGGTTTTCTAATCTGTCTCCTCATCTCCATTTTTGCCTTTCTCCAAAGTCCTTGAAGCCAAAGTAATCTTTTCAAACATAAATTATATGATGCTGTTCTCCTGCTCAAAAGCCCTTAATAGCTTCCCAGTGGGCTTGGAATAGAATAGAAATTCCTTATGGTAAACCACAGGGTCCTACATGAGCAGGCCCCTGCCCATCTCCACAAATCATGTTTCCCCATCTGCCCCTCACCCATAGACTACACCCCAGCCTTCTCTGACTTCACTGACACGCCAGGTGTTTCAGCCCTCAGGGGTCTGCTCCATGCTGCTTTCTGTGCCTGAAACACCCTTGTCCTCATTCTTCCCCTAACTCATGGAAGACTTGGCTTAAATGTTGTTTCCATAGAGAAAGCTTCCATGAAATCTCCACTACTCAAAACTGGATTTCTATTAATATTTTTAGTAGGACTCTGTTGTCTCCCTTCATGCTTTCCAATTCTATATTTACTTATGTGTTTATGGTTTACTGTCTACTTCTCTCTGTAAGCTGTAAGCTCCAGGAGGCAGGAATCAGGTCCAATCCACTCCCTGCCCCACCTTGATGTCCCCAGCATACAGACCAGTTCCTAATACAGAATAGGCTCTCAATAAGTATTTGTTAAAAGAATAAACTGGTATTTAGACCATGGTCCAAAATACAGGTTACATTTTGTATTGGAGCTACTGTACTTCAATACTAAGATAGTATTGGATCTGTTCTATGATATAAATCTATCTTTGTCAATAAATTTTCTCCCCTTTTATGTATCTTTTTCTAATCTTCCGAAGTAGAACAGAGTAGTCTCCCATTAGGCCACCACTCCACCTAGTGTATATTTCTATTATTATATTCATTGCTTCCCACCCTCTGTCCATATTATTTTCATGTCTGTTTCTTCAGAAGGACTGCATCCTTCCAGAAAGCAGGGAACAATGACTTATTATTTTCGAATCTTCAATGCTTAGTCAAAACTCTAATAGATAACAAGTGCCCAATAAATGTTTGCCATATCAATAAATGAGTAAAATTAAGCTACCTGAATTATCAAAAATTCTCAAAATTTTAAATACAAAATATGCATATTGGCTCTGATGTTTAGTGTTTTAAGAAACCATTTTTCTAACTAATGCCAAATTACACAGTTTAATCCACATTACTTAATAATCAAAACTTCCTTTTCATTATGTTAATAAAATTTAAAAAAGAAGGTAATTAATATAACTCCTTCAGTAAATCCAAAGAGCAAACGCTTGTGCAGTAACTTACATTTTAGAATATATAAAAGTCCAGCAATTATATTAAAGTAAAATAGTGTATTTGTATTGCCTACGCAGGAAATCAGCTACCCTTCCATCTCAACTACTCAGAACATGATTGAGAACTAGGAAATAAGGAGGAAAGATTCTGAAGCGTCAATATATAAACGCATCTCACTCCAGGCCGGTTCCCTCCCTCAGGGACCTTCACTCAGGCTCCACACAGAATTCTAACAAGGTAGTTTTTAAAACTCACAAACATATGAAGAAAACATAATTAGGAGGAGGACTAAGGACGGCTAGAAGCAGGCGCAGTGACAAAAACAAAAGATTACAGCTGTCAGAGAAGCAGGAAGCAAACATTCATTAAAAGGAATCATAGAATTAAAAAAGAAAAGCCAACAGTGGTCTGAGAGGCATTTTGTTTAGTAACAAATGATATTTTGGATTAAAACTTTTGTAGAGTCTACAATACAATCCAATTATTGATTATAGTTCAATAAATTAGATTTCATAATGATAGCTGTTTTATCAAGAAAAATAAAATTGTATTTAGTACAGTTTAAGATAATGGGAAAATATGCAAGACATTTCGTAATTCCCTGCCAAATGATTAAACAATCAAAGTTTAAATGTTTAAAAGACAAATCTTTAGCAACCAGAAAACCTGAAATATCCAGAATTACACATATCCCAAGAATTCTAGATAGCTAATTTTTACTACCCTGAAATGCCAGCTTAATTTTAAATAAAGAAACCTTACTCTAGGAGAATATGCACTTATATGGGAACCTGAAACTATTCTTCAAAAATCTGAAATAGATATAAAAAGTATAAATACAAAAATCTACTATACCTGTTGTGAACCGCTGAAATTCGTTGAATTGGAAACTGAATTATTCGCATAAATAGTAGATGATGGTGCAAAACTAGAACCTAGAGATAAAGAACAAATTGCATTTTAAAAGCATTTCTTGTAAAATAATAAAAGTATTTCACATTGCAGAATTCAATGACAGAAATATATCTTCAGTTTTGTTGTCAAGGCAGTGACATTTGAAGTTGAGAGATTTATAAGGAAAACGTGCTTAGCTCTATGTCCTTGCGACAACAGGTAATGTCTTTCCTAGAGAAGTCTGTCGAGCTAAACAAGAGCCCGTGGGAATGGTCTTACCAGGGACTGCAGCTAACTTTCAAGGGCTAAGTGTTCAGAAGTGCAGAAGTACTCAAAGAATAAAATATTATACAGACTGAGACTACTGGAACTTCCAGACTATTGGAACTTGCAAATGGTCATATCAACTGCATTTGCACACACAAAAATCACTTGAGTAAAACATTTGGACAGGGTTAGCTTAGGAAATAAACACACAACCCATTCGAAATTGATGCTCACAGTTCTGTCTTTTCATTCTTTTGTCCATTCCTTAGAACAAAAAGAGGGGTTCAGACTCAATGGGGTTTATACTGCAATAATCTAAGGTTTGAGGGCCTTCCAGAATTTTACTACAAGGTCAGAAATTTATTTATTTTTAAAATTAGGGCAAAACCAAGTGAACTATCAATTCACAGATTATTTTCAAAAAATATGTTCTCATGGAATGTACTTGTTAAGAGGTAAAATGAGGCAGCTGATGATTTGTTTTATCAATGTGTTTTGAATAGAAGGGGATTATGTAATCAACACAAACAGCCCTGGCCTGGAATACCCAGTGTGAAAGTATTTGGAGGAACGAATAAAAATGTCTCTGTGGTCTCTTTCACGCCGCCAACTGAAGGGGTATGGCTCACTGTGGCTGTCGCATGTATGCAAAGCTGTTTGCACCCACATTCCAGGTAAAAGGAGGCCTGCCATTTCAGCCAAAAAGGTCTAAGTAATTATCTCACTTTACTCATTGACTAAAGTGTCAATGTTAGTTGGTTAAAATATGTTAATATAGTCCCAAATTTATGACTAACAATATGGACAAAATGACATATAGGAACAAGCTTTTAATGTTTTTACAACGTCACTAATATTTTTCCTGCAACCACTACACAATGATCAATAATTTTTAATCAGAGTCAAAAACAAGAAGAAAAATTAAATAATGATCATATATGGAGGATTTGGGGGGGGGTACAAATTATATAAATATTCCTATGAAAAAATATAGTATTAATACGGGAGAGGTATTTTAGGAATGAACAAAAAATCCTAATCAATTAGTCAATGATAAATAAAAGTGCTAATTCAATTTTAAATATAATCAAAACAGCATTATGTACTTAAGGAATACTAACAAGAAAATACTGATTTTTGTCATGAATCTTTGAAATCACTTAAGTAGAAGCCAAACAAGTGACTGCTGGCTTGGAGGCTGCTCTGCTTGGACCTGGTTTCCTGCCAATTTTACGCAACTCACACGTAAGTATTTAAATTTGGTATGGGTCATGTTTCTTGATGCATATTCAACTCTTTTCATCATGTTCCTTCCTAGTTATTGTCTTTTTGATGAAATTCTGTGAGCAGTGGTAACATTTAAAACTGTCTTCATGATGGTATATTCCTAGTCTTAAGTCAAGGAATCTCATTCAAAGAATTCATGCTCACACAACACGTTTCCTGTGGCTACTTACCTGGCATCTGGTAGGAGTAAGGGGTCTGGCCGGGCTGCGGGGTGGAAAACCCTGGACTGTAACTGAGGCACCCGCTCTGTAACGGGGACTGAGTCTGCGGGAGTCCACTCTCTGTCTTGATGCCTGGCAACATCACGCCCAAATCTGCTGGAAAACGCATGCACAAACCATTTAATTAGTCAAATGATCTTACTTCTGAGTTGTAACTTATATTGGAATACACAACGACTAGCCAGCAGGGTTACCTGCTTACAACCACAGAAGGAGAAGATAGAAGACGTGAAATACCGTAAGTGGGCAGGCTGTAGGGCTGTCCTGTCTGTGAGTAGGCAGTGTAGACGGCTGGCTGCTGCATCCCCGAATACTGAGTCTGGCCTGCATAGGCAGACATCGTTTGAGCTGCTGGTGTAGAAAGAATGTGTGGATAGGGCCTAAATATCAGAAAAATAGCATTACTGTGGCAACAAAGACTGCATATTAATTCAGACAGCTCAGATTCAGTGACACCTTACAATAGCCAGGAGGTAATCCTCTTCCTTATCCACCATGTAATTTTAACAACATAGGAAAGGACAAGAGTTGCAATGGCAGGATCCTAGGCTCTGCTACAAACAGTCTGGCGACCTTGGCCAGTAATTTCAACTCCCTAAGTCTACACCCCACCTGTTAAAGGAGAAATTCTCTTTAGACATTATAACTAAAGTCTCTTCCAGTCTATAATTCTTGCCTACTTCTGAAATAGTATTCCAATTAATGTGTAGGTGAGGACAATGGAGCACAGGCTGGCTAATGAATATGCTCATGAGCATATTTCCAGTCAAATAAGTGCTCCAACATATTCAATGACTACAGAAGTCATTGAAAGCCCTACAAAGAATTCTCTACCCTGGGCCGGCTCCGTGGCTTAGCGGTTAAGTGCGCGCGCTCTGATGCTGGCGGCCCGGGTTCGGATCCCGGGCGCGCCCCAAGGCACCACTTCTCCGTCCAGCACGAGGCCGAGTCCCACGTACAGCAACTAGAAGGATGTGAACCTATGACATACAACTATCTGCTGGGGCTTTGGGGGGAAAAAAATGAAAAAAAAAAATCTTTAAAAAAAAAAAAAAAAAAAAAGAATTCTCTACCCAAAACTAGAAATCTTAAAAAAAAAAAAAAAAATGTAGGCAGCTTCCTGAAAAGAAATGAAATGTCATTCCCTTCATCATGCCACATTTTACAGAACGTTCCCAAACAGATGTCAACTCCAGCCTATACTTAAGGATAGAAACTCTGGCTGTTGTAGAAAATAACATTTAAATGTGTATGAATCAGGAATCCAAAATCTTGACACATCTGGCTGATTGCAACCAAATTCAGATATACACCCAATATAGTTAAACTCGAAATTTCCACCACCGTCCTCAGTAAGTTGACAACATTAGTCATAAAAACAACAGAGCATATTCTTCAAAAAATGTTTATTAGAACTTGAAATCAGATAAAAATATTGTAATGATGGAACAAACTATGAAGTGTTGATGTTTAAATAAAATGTAATCTTTTTAGGTTTTCTTTAAACTAGTCAGCATTTTTGAATTTTCATTGAAAAATCAGTGTATCTGGTTTGAAGTTGATGCTTTCCTCAAGGTATATAAATATCCAGAATTAAGGAAATTGTCAAGACAAAAGTGAGTGTATCTCTATTTCTAGATTTGTACAGGATATTTATTTATATATCTAATCTATCCAGGTAATCTATCCATGTATCTATCTATTCAACTCTCTATAACACATTTACATACAAAAAAGTTGTTATACTGTGTGAATATAGATTAATAAAGATAATCCCAGAAAATTATTCTAACAGATTGGAAAGAATCTACTGACCACTTACTTGGAAGGATAGAGCTGGGGGGAGTATTGATGCGCTGATCTGGGGCTGTAGCCACTACTTGTTATTACTGTAAAACACAAAAACCAGTACACAAAAGGTTGCTTCATAAATATATTTCACTAGAGTATCAAAACCAATTTGAAGAAATTACCATGTTAAAGATATGTTTCTAAAAAGAAAATGAATTCATTTTCTAAACAGAAACAGATGCCTAAACATTTTCTTCTAATGAAACCACATTGAGTTTGTTCTAATAGCATGAAATGAATTCTTCTCACAAATCATTTCCCTCCATCTTTCTTCCATTTTCTCAAATCAGTAGCATGCTTTTATGTATTAATGTGATATGAATATATATCTTTGATTATAGGTAATTAAGCTTTAGTGATATAAAAGTAAATTTTTAAAATTTGCAAACTTTATGTTTTAAATTCCAAATATGATGGCAATATATTGCTCTTTCCCCAGATTTATTCTAATAGAAATACCATAAAAATTAAGAAAAATATGAAGTTTCAACCTTCATTTTCAAATTGTAAAATGCTATCGTTTTCTATTTCCTTTCATTTTACCAATCAGATGAGTAGTCAAAAACTGCAGAGTCCAAAATATTCTAGTAGTAATTGGAATATACATAGAATATAAATATACATACATTTAAAAAGTGGATGCAACACTTTTTAAAATATATATATAATTGCAAAATGCAGCAGCAATCCTATTTACAAACATACTTTAAACTATCAGGGATAGCACTTTTTGAGAAGAACTTAAAGGTGAAAGTCAGGTCCTACTAACATTTCATCTAAACACACAGCCCCAAACTGGACTATACCCAAAAGTTTGGAAGTTTCTCTTCCCTTTAACCATCCACCTTGACTAAGACAGATGTATTGCAAATACATGGACTCTGCAGTGTTGAGGCAGTCCCTTCAGAGCCGTCCACACTGGGCGAGCACACAGCGTGTCTTTATTAGGCCATCTGCTGTTCATTCACTTTTCAAAAAGATTAAAGTCGTACACAACGCAGCGCTGGAATTAGTTTAGTCTAATCAATCATAGTTATACTTCAAAGTACCATGTCCCTTCTAGGTTGTTCATAATAATTCTGTAGCTAAACTTTTAGAATTGTAAAAGTGACAAATAGGTTTAGGTTGCTAACTATTTTATGAAACATGATATATTTCTATATCCAAATGCTATTAAGTACCCTTGTGATCTATTGCTTCATAAACACATAGAATTTAATGTATTTAAAATGCTATTTGGCCTGCAAGCTCTGAGTGTGGAAAGTGTATTATAGTTTTCATAGCAATAGTGCAGAAAATATGTTTTCGAGAACATTATGAATCAATTTTGAAAATCACTGAATATGACTAGAGGTGTTACGTTCTAAATATTTTCAGCAATCAAATAAGTGTATTTGTGAGACATATTTGAAAATAAATTGACAAATGAACTATTAATTTTCTACTTATTTATTGAAAACTTAAAAAATGTTTAAAACTTTCAAATAAACTCAATGAAAACAGGCTTTTTTTTTTTTACCACACCATGGGCATTAAGCGTACATTATATGAATACTCTCTTTAGCAGAAATATAGTTAAATGAGGCTTAATTCCACATTTTTTGGTCCCTTATTTATGAAACTTCAGTTTGGCACACTCAAGACTTGGACTATACTAATCAGTTATTCTCAAGATGCTAAAACACAAGGCTTTTCCAAAGAGACAGCAAAAATGGAAAGAAACAGTCACTACAGCAGATTTTGTTAAATAAGCCAAAGAGCAAAATTACTATAAAAAAAAACCCACATACATGAACACAGATCAAACATATAGGGTGCTTCTTCCCTCTAATCAATGAATCTAGACATCATTAAAATAAGGTACCCGTAACACTATAAAGGCTCAATCTTTAAAATTTCCTATTAATGTCCGCATGTTCATTTTATAAATAGAATACAAAACATCGTGCTCCGAAAACTAAGATGTTCACATAAAACTTGGAAAGTTTATGCTTCTTAAGTAAAATTTATACATTTTATTCTAACTCATAAATCTGGAGATAACTGAAAATGACAACAAAATTTCACTGAAGTGAGCTGATATTATGCTGATCACAGTAAAGACTGTTCCCACACAGGGCAGCCTAACCTCCAGGATGATTTCTGGAATACCATGTACAAATTTGGGAGACTTCCCTTTTATTCCTCATTGTCTTTTAATTAATCAAGAGAAATTACCCAAAGCACTCAATTTATTATACTCCATCATTTCTGCATACAAAAGTGGCAAAACTGCTTGTCTTCAAAATGTCCTGAAAATTAATTAAAGCAAATTTTTAAAGAATATTATCAGGTTCTCAGAAGGAGGTGTCAAGCAATTTTAAGGTTTTACTCTTATTATCCTGACACCTTAAATCAGTGACTCTCAAGGGGGTGGGAAGTGGGGGGTCAGATAAGGGGTGAGTGGAATTTTGCCTGCCAAAGGACATTTAAAATGCCTAGAGACATTTTTGGTTGTCACAACTGGGGGCTGCTCCTGTCATGTTGGGATAGATGATAGGAATGTTGCTAAACAGCCTAAAATGAAGAAAAGAGCTCCCCTACAATAAAAATTAGCCAAACATGTAATAGTGCTGCTGTTGAGAATCTCTGACTTAGATCATTGCTGTCCAAAAGAACTTGGTCTATGGTGTTGGAAATGTTCTGCATCTGAGTTGTCCAACATGGTAGCCACTAAAAAAGTCACATGCAGCTATTAAACACTTCAAATGTGACTAGTGTGACTGGATACAACATTTTTACTTTGACCCAATTTTAATTAATTTAGACTTAAATAGCCACATATGTCTAGTGGGTGCTTTACTGGACAGCACAGCCCTAGATAATTCTTAACAGCAAACTGGGAAACTACTTGTAAAGAGAATATGAGTGCCTTTCAGACAGGATGACTGCTCACACCTATTTCTTTTTCCATCTTCATATTTTTCAATGGGGTATTACAGAAAGAACTCCTAGATTAATCAGAATGCTGGTCTAGACTCATTTATACCAGTGACCACCTGTGAGGTCTCGACGGTATGGCGGTAACCACCATTAACTTCTCTGCGCCTCTGTATTTTTGCCTATAAAATGGATCAGAGATCTCTGAAATTCCTTCTGGAGCTAACATTCTACAATTTTGTCATTTATCTTTCAATTACCTTGTGGTATACTATTTAAATACGTCAGCAATTACTTAATAATTCCATTCCTTTCCTTAAAAATGTGTTTACATGCATTTACTTTGCAGAGAGTTTACAAGAGTTATGGTACACCAGTGATAAAGAATGCAGAGTAAGTTGGTACCTATTTATCTCCTGGGAGGCAAGTGAATTGCTAGACAGGATATGGATTAGCAAGTATGAGTCTCTATGCAAAGTGTATGAATTATTATTTCCTTCTGTTTGGAGTACTGATATTTATGGGAATACATGGCAACTGCTTCCAATCAGTGTGAGCTCATGAAATAGGATCATCTCTATCTATAAAAATCAAATATATACTATCATGACATTATCCTCAAGGATGTACCTCAACTCATTTTAAACGAAGCATACCCACATAAAATTCTCGCACAAGAACATGGATACACGTAAAATATATTAACATAGAATAAAAGAACCAAGATTTAATTACCACAAATGCTTTCCTAGGTTTAACATTCATCTTTCTGCTCTACAAATTGCTCCTCAGGTTAAAAAAAAAATCCTTTCACTAGATAATAAACAAAACAAAATATTGTAACTTAAAAAAAGTCTTTAAGTCAAGGTAATGTGCGTCCTTTGTGCCCACCTGGGAGTTATCCGGTATTTATACTGAAAAAAGGACTGATGTTTGAAGACAGGCTATTGTTCTCTTTGAAGCATGGGAGTGAAAGCAGTGCTCTCGGAGGCTGGCTCTAATGCAAGCAGCATGTGCTCCCCTGCAGCCCATTAACCTTTAATACTCGTCACTCAGCTGCTTACACAGGAGGACTTTTTTAAACCCAGAGAGGAAACAAGGTTATTTAGAAGGAATCAAATGGATAGTTTTACATCTCAAATGTTGGAGAGAAGGCAGTTTTTACGTCATTTAAATGGGCAAGTTGAAGGAACAAAGTCAACGATTACAACCTAATTATTAAATTAAACATGGTGTAAAATTATTACGAAGGAAGCCAGCTCTGCTTATTTCTAATAAGAAAGTCGGAGGATTGTTTCGCTGTCAAATGAAAATCCGAAACGATTCCAAGTATAATTTCTAAGAATACATAGTTTTATGACAAATAGTTCTCAAAAAAGTGAACATATCGCTAAACTTATCAACACCCAAGCTCTCAGAGCTTTGGTGTTGAGGCTGCTTGTTCACGAGGAGGATTACGTGTACCCCAGCGTGTACGGAACAACACACGAGCTTAAGGCTTTACCTGACCCAGTAAAGGTGTCAAGCGCTCCATCTCCAGTTGTGGTTGTGGTTTCACTGCTGTTCAAAGGCTCTGTTTTGACTGCAAGGAGAGACACTACGTAGAAGAATAAGTACATGTGAGTTTTATTTCTAAATTTATATCCAAGATGCTGACTGTTCTGCTAGTGGTTTTTCTAGCTACAATGGGCATGCAAGAGAAAACGGGAGAAGTCGATGAGGACAGTTTTGTTAATTTAGCTTCTAAATGGACATGCATTTGTAGAGGACTTCATCTGAAAATCCTCTGGTTAAGCTAGTTCTCTCGAATCTGGCTTTGAAAGGCAGTCGACCTTACAAAGTGAGACAGCAGTACTCACATTTGCATTTTTAACTCACCTAAGCACACTCTGATATTATAGTCAAAAGACAGAAAAAAGGAACCATCAGTCTTCAGCACACTGAATCCAAATCACAACAGAGATTTTTACTAGCTTATATTTTACTGTTCCCAAGAAGACATTTTTAAAAAATGATTGCAGAGGAGTACAGTGAAGGGATATGCAGATATAGAAACCATGGGCATATTCACACGATGGATGAAAAATGAGGCACTCAATAAATTTCTGCTCTTATAAAAGACTAGAGCCATAAGGTGTTGGGCTTTTTATTTCAGTGGTGCAACAATTTTCAATGCATTATAGAGATAAATGTAGAATAAGAGATGATTTCTACAGCAGTCAGTATATCTTCTGAAAACTCTTTAATCTGTTATTTCTACTTTGAGGTGGTATATTTTGGCAAAATCCTCACCTGGCAATGATGTAGCCTGGCACACATTATGGTCATTATGAGACACAATGAGTCGGGAGGAGGGAGGCAGTGGGAAAGCCTCCCCCTGTTTTGTCACACCATATTTTCCCTGTGTGGGCAAAGCTCTGCTACATACATCACAGCAGCAAGGGAATGAACTAAATTATTTTCTACTTAACACCTCTTATGTTTCCTGGTCATAAATGGAACGATATGGTTAAGTAACTTAGAAGCAAGCAGAAAACCATAAAGAAGAAAGGTGAGGACTAGCCAGCCATGAGCAAATATGGCAAAAAGAAGAGTGGGGTAAGAGTGTACCCACCAACCAAGCAAGTCAGCAATGTCACTCTGTTAGAAAAGCAACAGACTGATGGAGAAACATGCAGTAAGGATTAGGCTCTCTTGCCACATGAACAGAATTGACCAGACCCTCCCTCAGTGAGCTCTGGAGTTAATTTAGGATCTGTGATTTAATAATGTCATGAAGTTTGCTGGAAGAGTCAGAGGAAAACTGTAAAGGCTGTAAAGAGGAAGAAAAGAAACTTGCACTACTTCTTCTAGCAAAAGGCAAATTTAAGGTTGACCTATTTTTCAAAAGCAACAATAATCTGAGGAGTGTCTAATTATTTGTATAATGATAAATAAGGAACTGGGGGTTACCACTTTTCAGTAGTCATCTGTGCAGTCATCCATATTATGGTCAGAGCTGACCACTAAATATACTCACCACTACAAAATTTTTTACTACTACATGATTATTTATTGAGAGCCTACCATGTGCTAGACTATTTACAATTAGCCAATCCTTAAAACAACCCTGATCCATACAAACTACTGTATCTATTTTACACACCAAGAAACTACAGTTCGGGTGGGCTGAGGAGCGTGGATAAGTTCCACAGCACATGACAGAGTTAAGATCTGAATTCAAGTCTTCAGCTCTAATATCCCTGATCTCTCCACCCTAGAGGCTGCCTTCAGGGATGACAGTGGCTTACGTTCATGACAGTGACCCTTCACAAAGGCTCAGAGAGTGATAAGGAGGGGGTTATCTTCTAGACAGTAATTAGGAACACTTTGTTAAAAATGAAAACTGCAAAATACATGGGAATCGGCTACTAAAGTATGTTTTCCCTTTCTTCCTCAGGAAATATTTTAAAGGACAACAAGAAGTAGCAAGTTTGAAAGCAGATAACAACAGCACACCCTTAAAAGGTACTTCATACATTCCAGCTGCTGTTGCCGTGCTTTACAGATATTAACTCATTCACTCCTCACGACAATCAGATGAGGTAGATAATATTATCGTCTCCATTTTTCAGATGAGGAAACTGAGGCACAAGGAGGTTAAATGACTTGCCTATAGTCACACAGCTAGTAAGAGTGAGAATTTGAGACCAGGTGGTGCGGTTTCAGAATCCAAACTCTAAACCACATTGCCTCCCTGGCAACACTACCTGATCAGAATTCCTTTCATCTGTATAAAGACGCTCCAGAGTGTGATGTGGATGGGTGAAAGGCTACTCTCTCTCTCTCTGTGTCACATTTGATTGGACTTTTATGACAAAAAGTCCAAAGCCTTCAGCAAAACTGAGACAAGGGACAGTTTCTGAGAATTTCCAAATTCTAATTGTGGCTAAATTCCTACTTAAACGTGCCTAACCCTACAAAGAATACTTATAAAATACATTTATTAATACTAATAGCAATACATATTTCACTTGTGAATTGGCAAGAGGGGAGCAGAAGAGGAGCTGTGTCAAAAAAACTGGCCTAGATCCAGATCTGAAGACTAGTTTTGTTACTTTCGATCCCAGCTTCAAGACTCGGTTTCAGAAGCTTAGAATTGATGCTGATTATAATCTCCTCAATTTGAAAGTTTCAAGCAGTCAAAGGAAAAGGAAGAAAAGGGAGAGAGAGTTTGTGGTTGTGTTCATTATACTGGAAACGGCTCTCATTAAAATTTTAAAGGGCTGCATTTGGCCAAAGACAGGTTCATTTTACTGAGAAAAGGCATTAGGGATATGAAAAGAAGCATCAATATCAAGATGTGGTCAGTGAACTAACATGCATGGATTTTAAAGCAATAATTCAACAAATGGATGCTAACATTAGGGGAAAAAAGGAAAAATTTATTTTTCATATGCAGGTAAGAGTAGAATAATAGGAAAAGAGCAGAAATTAACTATGCTGCTACAGAAAATAAATTATTTTCACATTGGTGAGTATCAACAAACATCTCTTGAGCTCCAGGAAAGACACAAAGATATTTTGGTTTGATTTTATACAAAAAGTAATATTAGGTAATAATAAATAATATGGTTTTTTCAGGGACAGAAAACTCAGAGAGAGAAGTGAAATGGACGATCCTTATATGATAAGCTGATTTATTAAAAAGGTGTTAGAATACAAAGAAGTATCTTAATATTTACAAAACAGGTAACCAGTATAAAGTAAACAGCATAATAATTATAGATAAAGTTTGAAAAATGGAAGTCATTTTCACTAAAGGTCCACCTATATTTGAAATGTATGCCCATTTTCTTTTGTCTTGGGTTTGTTTCCACACTTAAATTAGATATACTAGATACTTTTCTAGTGGCAGGAAACTTTTCTTTTCATTAAATATGTGCATGGTACTATTGGAGAGATGTTCTTCAACAAAATAAATCTAGTTTTAGGCAACATGCTACTTTCTAAAACTTGTAAAATCCTCATTCCAAATGATTATCAGTGTATATTCATGTCATGGTCAAATGTACTTTTTCTTACTGTATTTTATTTTTCTTAATTTAACACAGAGGTTAAATAGGGCTTTTAACTTGTTTTCAGGACAGTGTCCAAAATCATATGCTATAAAATGAAAAGGATAACCTTCTATAGGTGTAAAGTATCATATTTTTCAACAAAATTCAAACTTACAAAATAAATGTTTTGATTTCAAAAGCAACAATCAGATTTTAATGTCCTGGGTTAAAGAATTTTGTGGTTTTATTTTCCTACATTCTCAAAATAAGTGAGTCAGGGTTTACATAAAAGTGGGATGAAAAAACTATATAGAGTACTTTGTACAGAACTATTACTTCAAGAAATGCTTGTATTGTCAGGCTCCCCTCCCCACTAGTTGTCCACTTGCAATTTGGATGCTTTCTGTAGAGCCAAATAGTAAAAAAGAAAAAAAGAAAGTCAAAATAATTTTAATATATTGATATGACTGGATTTTGTTTTATTTTATTATTATTATTTTTTTGCTGAGGAAGATTCACCCTGAGCTAACATCCACTGCCAATCTTCCTCTTTTTGTATATGAGCCGCCACCACAGCATGGCCACTGACAGACAAGTGTAGGTCTGCGCCCAGGAACCAAACCCGGGCCACCAAAGCGGAGCGTGCCAAACTGAACCACTAGGCCACCGAGGCTAGCCCTGGATTTTATTTTTTACCTTTAAAAATAATTGACATTTACAGATTAAACCAAGATTGTACGTGATTACTGATAGGTGTCAGCTATGGCGACTAAATCACTGATTTCTTCTCTTCACATCTCAACCTTCATCCATACCCTCATACACATATTTTCAAAACAAATTTAATCTTCTATCCTCGTATTATCTTTAGAACTCAAATATAACCTTCATGTATATTAATTATTTTTGGAGAAAGTCTGTTTTATCATAACTCAACATTCATGGTCATTTGTTGCAATATCAGACTTAATCCTTGAAAGAGAAGGTGACCCAAGTGATTTACATTTTACATTTCATCTTCAGAAATCTGTGTTTAAATTGAGGTCCACTTAAAAGATTATCTATATGTAATTCCAAATATACTTCTTTCTAAACCACAAAATCACACATAGCGACTTCTAACAGCTTAGGTTCTACAAAGAATTTCAGTTGTTAGATCAAGAAAGTACAATTTATAACACTGCAGGGGGGCAAGAATTATCGCCTACTGGTTTTAATAACTGGTACAGCCTACGATTTATGTTTGTTTAAATCAATATATTCACTCAAAAACCTATGAGCACCAAGTGTCTTTCACTCCTTAAACCTATAAAGTATTTAATTTGTAAAATACTTTGATGAAGCAATTTATGGCTTTCATTCCAAAAAGAAAATCTAAAAAGAGTAGAGCCAACCATAGTAGGTGGCTCTATTGCACAAATACATAATATTCAGAAACAAATCCATCACATATGAGTCAATAATCTATATATTAAAAATTCTGGAAGATCCTTTTTTTATGATATATAGATTTTAAATATAGAAAATACCTGATCAGAATATCTGATTTGGGTTTCCCCAAACCTCCTCTTTGAAGTATTTTCTTAATCCCCATGTAGAATCAAATATTCCCTCCCTCTGCTGTGCACCCACCTTGAACACATTATGCACTCATTATTTTCTTGTCTGTTTCACTCTGCTAGACTTTTGGTCCCTTGATGGCTAGTATCATGTTCTATAGGTCATTGGGTTCCCATTTCCTAGCACAGAGCCTGGCATATAACAGGAACTTGATACATTTTAATTCAGACTGTGAAAATTCACTCTTTTAGACTCTATCCTAAGCACTCCCAATAGATCTGAGTATTTTTGTATATAAAGTATATACAGTATAGCTAATCATGAATCTTGACACCATTAAGCCAAGAGAATCTTACCTATGTCTGGAGGTAACTTTTCATATGATTGGCATGCATTTACAGGCATGAATAGGCATATACATAAAGTATGTATATTTCATGTATAGCATTTACCTATATCTATATCAAAGGTAGGCAAACTAACCCCATGTGCCAAATCTGGCCCATGACCTGTTTTTATACAGCCCATGAGCTAAGAATGGCTTTTACATTTTTAAATAGTTAAAAAATATCAAAAGAAGAAGAATATTTTGTGGTGTGAAAATTTTATGAAATTCAAATTTCAGTGTTCATAGATCCAATTTTATTTGATTACAGCCAACCTCACTCATTTACATAACGCCTATGGCTGCTTTTGGGTGATACCAGCAGAGTTGAAGAGTTACAACAGAGACCATATGGCTTACAAATCTGAAATATTTACTATCTGACCCTTTACAGAAAAGTTTGTTGACCACTGACCTATATGCTAAGGTATGATTGCATTTATTCTATTTTTGTCCATGGTTCTACATTTTAACAACTTTACAGGTGACAAAAATTTGAAAGGAAAATGTAGGTTCCAATATAAATCTGCAGATGTAATTATATAATTAAGATTAAGGTGTTGAAACATTTTAAATTACTTTAAGTAATAAGGCAACATATTTAAACAGCACCAACATGGTATGGTAAGATCTTAAGGTGATACTATCAAACTCAGTCATATTAATAAAAACTATATAATTAACATTATCTTTCTGAACATCTCAACATTAATGGAAAGATCTTGAAAAGCCACTAAATTAGCTTTTGCCTTTTGTTTTATTATAATAATTTTACAAAATGATCCAATTCCAACAATGAAATCCAGGATTATAAATGAAATAGTTTACTCTCATTGGGAGAGATTATGCATCAAATGCTAAGTCTGTGTTATAAACACTCGACATGAAAAAGTCATTAAAATTCATTAAAAATTTCATATCAATATGCCACTGAGACTGTATCATTGATAGTCGAAGTATACCTAAAATTTTGTTACTAAAAGTTTGCCTTCTTTGGCCAGTTTACATGTGCTAAATGCAGAAGAATTTATTATCTGACCAACCATTGGAGAGTCTTTTAACACGATGCATGTTTTCATTTTCCTTAAAAAATCGTTGCCTAATTATTATTGAATAATTAATTTAAAAAAAGGGAAATATATCGGTACTCATTGCTAAGCAATTTACATACTTTATCTAATTTAAGACCAAAGCTTTGCCAGGGAAATGTTATTATTATCTTCCTTTTACAGAAAGGAATTGAAGCTCAGAGAGGTTAAGTAACTTGACTAAGGTGACATAGCTGGTAAGTGTAGTGCTCAGATCCACGGTCCTCCTGACACACAAGTCCCTGTTCTTCCCACGTGGCCTCACAACTCTTAACATTAACATTAAGGACTAGGAACACCTGATGCTTAACATTTAGAAAAATGTTTCTGGTTGAGATGAGATATAAATTACTAAATATTCATTGTACATATTGACTGTTGTAAAGCTGCCTGTTACATTAATACTAGTTTAGAACAGAACAACAGCCAGTGAGCTAAGAATTTTTTTTCACATCTTAAATGTTTAAAAAAAATCAAAATTACAATATTTTGTGACATATGAAAATTATATGAAATTCAAATTCAGGGTCCATAAATAGTTTTGTTGGAAACTAACCACACTAATTCATTTCTGTATTGTCTCTGGTTGCCTCTGAGCTATGGTGGCATCGCTGAGTAGCTGAGACAGATGGTATGGCCTAGAAAGCCTAAAGATTTACTATGTGGCTCTTTACAGGAAAAGACCCCTGAGTTAGAATTAAGAGGAACTAAATGCTGGCAACATATTTTTTAAGTATGAAAAGTATATTTTAAGTATAGAATTGAAAAAAACTTGAAACCAAACCTATAAAAATATAAGTAATGGGTATAATGGAGTGTTCTTCATTCACTGGTCATATATTCTCATTTAATCTGAGACATAGCAAGGTCCAGCCACATTGCGCCTATTCTAAGAGTCTGCTTGCAAAACACATTTCCGATAGGTGGTAAGGTCTGTTTAATTTTAAAACTGGTTGGTTCTGCCATAGCATTATAGTATTTTCTTTTCTTTTTCAATTTTGATAGCATATTAACTTTCGATTTAGGAAAGGCTGTTTATACTTTTATATATATTATATATGAATGTAGTAAATATTTATAGTTTAAAACATTTTAAGAGACTATTTATAATTTTAAATGTATAGCTTTCATCACTGATAATTTTTTAAATGATGGGATTTTAATTGTTAATGCCACTTTAGGTAATTTAATCGGGATATTTAACAAAGTCTGTAAAATAACAAACATCATTTTGCCATGTTAAGAATTTTTAAGTTATGGGGCCGGCTCTGTGGCTTAGCGGTTAAGTGCGCGCGCTCTGATGCTGGCGGCCCGGGTTCGGATCCCGGGTGCGCCCCAAGGCACCACTTCTCCGTCCAGCGCGAGGCCGAGTCCCACGTACAGCAACTAGAAGAATGTGAACCTATGACATACAACTATCTGCTGGGGCTTTGGGGGGAAAAAAATGAATAAATAAAGTCTTAAAAAAAAAAAAAAAAAAAAAAAAAAAAAAAAGAATTTTTAAGTTATGGAGATGACTGAGTTTGTATGTTTGCGTGATGTTCTTCACCTGCTCTGATTGACAACTGTTCTGATTGTGCTGAATTAACCACTTAATAGACTGATACATAAAAAAACAACAGACACATCCATTTGTGCAAAATTATAAAAAATCTAAGAAAAGAATACTACTGATCTAAGTAATCTAAGATTAGAAGACTAGTTGATAAGAAAAACAAAGCCAAGTGTTATCAATAAACAACTGAAAGGCAAGTTCATGTCTCCTTTTTCTCTGCAAGTACTGAACACAGAAAAGAGTGCAGATGTAGAAACAGCAACAGAAAGCAAACCAGAGGGCAATCCACACACCCAAACGCATGCAGTGTACCATCGGCTCTCATACTTGTTGCGGAAGAGGGGGTGTTGCAACTCAGCAACCAGTCTGCAGTGTTTAAAACAGTCATGTTGTCCCCTGAGAACAGGAACAGTATAAGGAATCACTGTCCGCACGCCTGATCAGCCTACGTGAGTAGGCCTCAATGCACTGCTTTCTGGCCTTTTCGCCAAAACTAGAACTGCACTGGATGGCTTTTCCATTTGAGTTTATCAGGTCTGCTTTAGTTCAGTGAAATATATACACATGATGACTAGTGAACTCAAGGTCTGATCCCAGAGTGCATGGGTTGTTTAAAAGTCTTGCTATTTGTACCCAATTTAAGGCTTAAATATAAATTGTCTTACTGCAGAAGTCATCACTGAACAACCTGATAGATTTGCAATCCTACAATTAATTAGCTGAAATTATAGATGCATGTTTAGAGACAAATAAACATTATAAACAAGGAAAATGTTAATCTACAAAGGGTTTGGTGTAAAACATTATTAAATACAGGCAAGTTGCAATGCACACAACTTTACAAAGAAAATTTTAGATTGTACAGTTATTCTAAAGTAAATGGGAAGAGGTGTATCAATTTCATAAACAGTTATTGAAAATTTAAAAGAAAATATGATGTGGCAAATGCTAATATCTAGTAATATGAATAGTTTATAAATTAAAACCAATTTCACATAATTTTTAATTTATGACTAAAACAACCAGATGTACAAAATTTAAAATGATTGTTAATAATTTAAATTACAGCTTATACATCATATGTGTGTGTGTGTGTGTGTGTATATATATCGTCTCTCTTTATACATATGCTAATGCAAAAATCAGATCACATTTTCTGACAGATTGAATGCATTTTATAAAAACAATAGGGCAGAATATTTGAAATAATAACTGCTATTGTCGCCATATGCTGTGGCATAATTATGGGCTAATCAAATGAGAAAGTATGTGAAAAAAATTCAATTTCTGTTTTAAATACATGTTGGATATTATTCTCTTTGAAAAGAAAATACAGCAGATATTGATATTTTTCTATTCCCAAAACCATTTTTAAGAAAAAACATTTTAAGAAAAATTTTGGGGTAGCCTTTCTCTTATGGTTTAAAATAAAGCCAAATACTAGTATAATTTCTTTTCTTTTTTAAATTTTTTTTGGTAAGATCAGAGTGCAAATCCTTTGGCCACATTTTCTGGAACATTTACAAGGGCAAACACAAAAAAGAAGCCTCGCTAAAGGCCTTCAAAATGTCACTCGGGCTACCTATTCTTTCTAAATGCTCTCAGCTATAGGGGAGGAGCAAAAATTTGCAAAAAAAAAATCAACAGGATGATAAATAATCCATTAACTATATAGTCCTTGGATATAATGCTGATTATGTTATTGCTAAGGAGATGTTTATTTACTAGCAGATCCCTCACATGTGAAATTACAGCAAACCCTGAGATGTGATTCTGGGTGTCTCTGGGGTGGGACACTTACCTCCTGTCCCATTTGTGGTGACGGATGTGCTGCTGAGATTAGCCTTCTCCAGCTTGGAGCTACCAGGAGTATCACCACCTCCAACAAGAGGATGAGGACTTGCTAGGTCCTGCATTTCCATAGACCTGTGAGGGCAGGAGGCAGCAGAGCAGGAGCTGAAATTTCAGCAATGATTTCTTAATAAACTACATTTTTTACTCTACTGAGCACATACGTGATCTCACAACAATAAGAACTGAAACCAAAAGCTAAGACTTCTTCACTCACCAGGTGAACACGTCAGTCCATTAAAAGTGAAAATATAATAAAGCTTCCATGAGAGTTAAGCCTCATAATTTGTTTATTTGTAATCCTACAACTATTCTATATAATAATATAAGAAAAAAGGCTGATTCTGTTATCTTGGCAGTTTAGGTTGATATGAGTACCCTCCCTCCTACACTGACCACCTCTGTATATAAACATGAAGAAATGCTGAAAATATTTAACTCCCAAAATTTGACATCCCCCACCACCAGTGAGGAAGAAATCAGTAGCCAGAAATAACATGTAAACTCCAAGCCAGAGCAGAAGCTTCTAGCTGACCTTGCTGGCCCAGGGGGCTGAAAACTGAGCCTAAGGCCTTAGGGTTGAGGTTGTTACCCATTCAAGTAATTGTTACCCTTTAATACCCATTCAGGAATAAAAGACTTTGACTTATGTCTGTTATAGGGAATGTGCTGGAATTGAGACCCTAAATAAAACAAACTCTTGAAAGAGCCTTCTTTTTTTTTTGAAAAGGACATTAGAAGATCTGAACAACACTATCACCAACATGACATAATTGACAGTTACAGTACACGAACACCCAATAACTATAGAATACATATTATTTTCAAGTGCACATGGAACATCCACCCAAAGGACCATATGCTGGGCCATAACATAAGTATCATTAGATTTTAAAATAGAAATCTTACAGAGTATGGTATCTGACCACAAAGAACTAAATTAGAAAGCAATGATAATAAGATACATAAAATAATGTCTAATATTTGAAAATTAAACACCACACTTCTATATAATCTATGAATCAAAGAAGAAATCACAAGCGAATGTAGAAAATATTGAGGATAAAATAATAATGAAAACACATCAAACCACCCCCCTAAATACAGTCAACTGATGTTTGACAAAGAAGCAAAGGCAATTCAATGAAGCAAAGACAGTCTCTCCAACAAATGGTGCTGAAACAACTGAACATCCACATGCAAAATCACAAATCTAGACACAGATCTTATACCATCAACAAAAATTAATTCAAAATTAATCATAAACCTAAATGTGAAATGCAAAACTATGAAACTCCTAGCAGATAACAGGAGAAAACCTAGATGATGTTGGATATGACCTTGGGTTTTCAAATACAAAACCAACGATACCATCCATGAAAGAAATAATTGATAAGCTGGACTTCATTAAAATTAAAAACTTCTGCTCTATGAAAGACAATATAAAGGGAATTAGAAGACAAGCCACAGACAGGAAGAAAATATTTGCAAAGGACACATCTGATAAAGGACTATTATCCAAAATATACAAAGAATTCTTAAAATTTAACAATAAGAAAACAAATAACCTGCTTAAAAAATGGACGAAAGATTTCAACAGACATGTCACCAAAGAAGATACACAGACAGCAAATAAGCAAATATGAAAAGACGCTCCACATCAGGTGTCAACAGGGAAATGCAAATTAAAACAACAATGAGATACCACTTCACTACCCATTAGAATGGCCCAAATCTGGAACACTGACAACACCAAATGCTAGCAAGGATATGGAATAGGAACTCTCATACATTGCTAGCGGGAATGCAAAATGGTACACCCACTTTTTTTTTTTTAAACTCTTTATTTATTTATTTATTTTTTCCCCCAA